ATCGTCTATCCCTTGACCTCTGAGTGAAACGTCATGGGGTTAAGGGATAGTGGATAGGAGAATTCAAAAGGATTTAGGAGAAGAGACTGCGGTACTTTAGAGAATCCGACTGCACTTTCACTATCCGACGTGTTTATGATGCACCAGCGGAGGTCATAAATGTGCGCCTGCTGCTGTGGGGAAACTATGGAAACTACAGTTTTCTATACAGTGGACTACAACATGGATGTATAATAAGAACGAGGGACTACTGTAAACTCATCTAGAGACTCTGCACCGTGCTCTGATGCTGTTGTTTTATGCTTTATGAACGTGGACAACAGAGAAACAAATTCTTCATGACCAAAGTTGGAATTGAAATAAAAAAGGAAAGTGAAACTTATGCTCGTCACCCTCTCCCTCCGGTCCACATTAATACAAATGATCCCAATAGGTATGATTGTATGAAAAGATCTTAAAATCAATACAAATGTATTTATTATAAACGTCAGTTCTTAACATCTATCACTGTGTATATCACCATTCAAACATCTTTTAAAAGTTGAACAAACCCCACACAGCTCAGTAAAGACTGCAATGTTGACTTTATTTGATCATTTCAGTAAAAACTAACGTTCATATTTCTCTTTTTGATTATAATACTGATGAACGTTCAAAACAAAGCACTTTGGCAACTTACCACATACGTTTTAAAATGCTTAATAAGCACCGTAACTTTCATGATATCATTTCTCGTTCATAATCGGTTGTTTCCGTGAACGGCCGACTGTTGTGTGACGGCAAATGCCGCGGCTGCAAGGCATTGTGGGGCAGCATTTTCTCCTCTCCTTTCGGTTAGGGAGGTTCAGTGGTCTAAGCTAAAGGAGGTTATAAAGGAAGTTTGAAACCTCCTTTCCTTTCATTTAGAGAATTCGAACGGCACTTATCATGGCTGCCACTGAGGGACTTCCGGGTCATTTCACTCCGTTAGGAAGGTTCCTAAGCTAAATGGACTATTCGACCGCAACCCATATATACACACTAGGTAAGGGGACACAGATGGCAACAATTAAGGGAGGGGATGACAATCACACTGGAGGGAAAACACACAAGGGCAGGAATGGCTCTGAAACGAGAGGGAAAGGTTACTACAAAATAAAACAGGAATTCACAAGACAAAGCAAAAGACAAAAGGACTGAACTAAAGAAATTAACTTAAAGGAGAGGTGTCATGGCCATTTCCACTGATCATAATTCCATTGTTGAGGTCTACTCAAATAGATTTATACTGTGCATTTTTCCAAACTCACATTGGTTTCTCATACAGCATCTCTGTAAACTACTTGTATTCACTGAATTTCACTCTCTGCCTTTAACGGCTCGTTGTAGCTCCAATAGCTCCAGCCCCCACCCTCCCTGTGAGCACAGTGTGCTCTGATTGGTCGGGACGTTGTGAATCGCGCTGAGCTCCGTGGAGGTGTTGTTTCCTTGTTTAGGATACATAGCGAAACACAGCCAAACTCATCCTGAGCACCCACAAACTCACAGCCGAATTAAAAACAATAAGTGTGGCTTGATATTGAGTAAGAAAAAGGTTGATAAACACTGTGAGAATGGGTCTGCAGAGAGAATTTCGCCGCGATCCCAACTGTCTGTTATCAGCCTGCAGCCAGGGAGGAGAAATCAGCAGAGCTGCCTGTGTGTGAGGAAGTCCGACGTAACGTAACGGCTCCACGGATTGGTCCATTTCGTTCTGGCATGATGTCATGCCGTACCCGGAAGAATCAAATGGACAATGACGTATCTCCAACGAGGCGTTTTGGGGAGGTATTTTCTGTGTTAGAGTTTTACTTGCTACAGGGTGTACTTTGAGGGTTTTGATTCTGTACACCGTTTACATGCATAAAAACCTTCATAACACACAAGGGGACGGGTAATAACCGGAAAAGCATGACACCTCTCCTTTAACATAAATGTCTAGACACCACACACAGAGCAATGGGCAAAAAGCTGAGCTCAATTTTATTGGCTACTTACCAAACATAAGCACTGAGCGTGTAAATGACAACTGAGTCAGTCAGAATAGTTGGTCTTAAACTAGCAAGAGATAGGTGTAAGAGAGGCCCCTAAGTGTTTAACTGTAAAATATGGTTCTCTAGATGCATGGAAATGTAGCTGGTTGCTGTGTGGTTAAAACATAAAAACGATGTATGTTTTAAGGTTGACTGATAAGGGCTTGAATAGTCATCATTAAGTTTGGGATAAATTGTCTATAAAAACATGTCGCACCCACGTCCAACTGGCTCCCTCATTGTAAAAATGCATCACTTAAAATACATTTAGCCACATTTTGTGTGGATTTTCAATTAATGTTAATTGGTAATGTTGTTGATTGAAGGAAAATATCTCAAAGACAGTATGGGCCAGGGGTGTCCAAACTACGGCAAGGGGGCCAAATGCAGCACACGGACCATTTTGAATCGGCCCTCAGCAAATTCTAAAAATATAATGTAATACGGCCCAAAAATGAAACTTGTGCTTGTCTTATATTGTACTTCTTAAATATATATGTAAATATATATTACACAGTAGTATTCATGTGTTAATAAGCCCACTTTTCAAATAAATTCAGTCAATTAAAGTTGGAAACATTTTCTAACACATAAATACTACTTTTGATTAAAAAAAAGGCCCAATAACTTATATACCTAACAAGCTTGAAATATACCCTTCATATTTCCCCTTATAAGCAAACTGAGGGATGAGCTGCCAACAAAATAAATGAAACCCTATGGAGAGCTGTGATCTAGGCTGATTTTTTCTAAAGGCATTTACAAGTATCAAGCATAATTGACCTACATTTGATTAATTTGGCTGACTTATAACTTAACTTATGAGGCAGTATACCTCACCTTTAGCAAGTGGCCCAGCCCTTGCTATATTTTTCTGTATGTGGCCCTCGGTGAAAAAGGTTTGGACATCCCTGGTCTAGGCATATATTGAGTTTCGGGAAAAACACATCTTAGATAAAACCCCCAGACTGAGCCCTGCCTGGACTTCAGTACGTCCTCTGGAACAGCTTAACAGACAACATCCCTTATTCTCCATTACACTTTACACTCACATCCATTCATCAGTTCTCAACTTCCAACCCGCCTGAAATTCCATTTACTCTCAAAAGAAAATAGTGTTGTGCCCCTTGTTTGCTTGGTGCTTGTAAATGCATGAAAAACATAATCCCAAACAGCCAATGGAAAGCCACTTCACACATCAGACAAATGAACAACTGAAGAGCTACCCGTGGGACTTTAAACTCAACAAACTGCCTCTGAATGTCTTTATAACATCTAAACCGCATGCTGCTGGATTGTACTTCCTCACTTTTTATACATTCTTATCACCTCTCTTACCATTCAAATGTCGAAGGGTAATTTTAACAGTCCCTTAACCTGTTAAGCCCCATAGCCCCCGACTGTGTCTCAGGGCTTCTTAACATTTAACAACCTATTAATGTGTCATACCCACTTAACGGGAAGAAACTCAGCTAACTGACGACATGAACAATTTTTAGCTAAGCAAAACACAAGGGTAATACCAATCCTCTGAATTAGCACTGAGCGAAAAAATGCTAACGCACTTAGCATAGAACTCACGGTAGAAATATTGTATTACTTATCGGATCTGCACAAACAAGATATCAAATTAAAGATGAGATTCCACATATTCCAGAGGTATAAATATCATCACTGTGAACAACCCAGGGCAGCGAAGGCAAAACCAGACAACACACAACGTAGCTTTACAGAGCCAAAACGGCAAATACGTCTTATCTTTGCTGTTTTCTGATAAAAGGTTGTGTTCAATGGCATTAAAACGATGAAAACGCTGCTGAAGGTTAATCCAATGTGTCTGTGTCACTTTGAAATGATTACTGATAATCCATCATTCCATTTTTGTCAAAAACTGAGATTTCATATAGAGTGTGTGAGAGCTACAACCCAGCTTCCGGTTTTGGGCATTCTGGCTGCGCATCACTCTATTCACCAATGGTAATGTTTAGATGGATTTTAGGAACTTCGCCTCGATTCTTTTGGCTCTAACGGTTCAAAACAGGTGTCAATCATCAAAATCGACCGATGGGTTCCAGAGATATGGCAAATGCACCAAAATGACCCCGGAAGTGTTTTTTTTTGCTATACCTCTCTAAAAAGGTCAAATGTTACTTGTCTTGATACAGGGTACTTATTATATGTTATAGTTTGGATTCCTAACGCTTTTAGTCTACTATCCCTTCATTCAAGGGTGGTTTTCACTATAAGTAATGTTTTTTTTTTTTGGACAGACACTATAATTTACATTTTTTTACTATGTTCAATCTGAATTTACTTTAAAATAAAACTTTTCTACATCCAACTCACAGGTTTATCATTGCTTTGAGAAAAAAGATTAATAATTTACCCCTTTTAGAAGTGAAGATATAGTCATTTGTTCTGGGAATGTCCTTTTCGAGCCTGAGACCTGAAAAACAGGCTTGGGGCTTAACAGGTTAACTCCCTGGATTTTCCCTAGATTGTGTTTCCATAAACACACAGTAATGTCAGAGTTATCTTGAGGTTATCTTTCTCTCAGATGCCACTCTTTTATTTATTTTGGTTAATTAAATCCGATGATCACTTTTGCAAAGGCTCCTTTTACATTATAATTATTTACATTACAATTATACAGTACATTTCCTAATAAAACGTAAAAGTGTCAAGGAGGCCTAATTAAACTATGTGAGTAATGCCAACTAAACTACGATTATGCAACTTTTGGAGCTAGGGCTGCTAACAACTCTCATTGTAGAAGTCTTTACAAGTTGTAATCTAGCTTACTCATGCTGGCTTCTGTTCAATATTTAACCTTGCTCCGTTTCTTGGCTCATTTTCACATTCTTAATGGCATGGCATTGCACAATCCTGCCGAGCACGGGGAAATCCCAGACACGTCCTACACTAGATAAAAGGAGTGAGGCGTGAAGACTCAGTCACACTCTCACTGGATTCCTCCAGGCATTTTACACAGGCTCTAAAAGCACTACCCGAATAAGCACTCCAACTATAAACCATGGCAAGCGGTAAAGTATGTTTCCTGGCAGCTCTGTGCTCCCTGGTCATCCTGTCAACCTTTATCGGCAGCACACAGTCAGGTGAGTTCTACAGATCAAGCGACAGATAATACATGTGCAGTTTTTGTGTCATCTCTGGCAAGTGTAGATGCATTTATAAAAGGATAAGGAAACAAGTCCTGTAATTTATTTAGCTTGTGTTACATGAAGTACCTGCAAATCCTAAAGCTCTGAAAACAGGCAGATTTACCATTGTATGTTTCAGGGTAAAATCAAGGTTAAAAAGCTAATTATTTAACTTGAAAAATGTTTATAATGTATTTTTGTTCACAATGTGTTTGCAGCGAGCTGCTGCCTGAGGTACACCAGTCGTCGATTGCCATGCCAACGGCTGCTCGGCTACACTGTCCAGACCATTAACACGTCCTGTGACATCGAAGCTATTATGTGAGTAAATTATTAAATCTCTTTTCAGACTACAATTCTGCACTTCAGTAGTAACAGCAGAACAGGGAGCAAGTCAGTGACAACAGTCTCACATGGATATTACAAAATAATGTTATGGACAAAAGGTGCAATTGCACTTAAATAAACAATAAATATCATTATTAATTAATCTGCAGACATGTTTCTAAATTGAATTATCCCTATGACATTATACTACATACCAAGGTGATGTGTCAAATAACGTAACATACTTAATTGCTTTCTTGAGTTGTTAATGGTTGGCTTGTTTGTGACCAAAAAAAAGGTATTTTTTATTTCATCTGATAATCAGTTAATTGACAAATCATTGTGGCCCTACTTAGAAATAGTGACAGTGGACGTAAGATAAACAAGTTTGGGTGTCTGTTTTTTAGAAAAGGAGATGTTATAAAGATATAAACAAGCCAACACTCCGGAGAGTGGCATTTTAAATGGTATATCTTATATCTTGAATATCTTGTGTATTCCTTTTTTTTCATTAAACATATCCTTCTGTCAGAAGAGCAATGTATGTTACATTCAAACTGCAGTTAACATGGTCATTGATTTTGCTTTCTTTATTAATTATTTTGACCACTAAACAACCTAACAGTATGTGTTAAGATTTTTGACATTGTTCAAAATGAGCTTTATTGAAGACAGAAGTGAGTAAAACAGTTTAAGCAAATACATCCTGGTTATTTAAGGTCACACATTAGAGGGCAGGCCCCAGACGTGACTTAACAAAGCATTAGCGGGTTAGCTTGTGAATCCCAAGTGCACCGACTTCTCGCTTGTCTTTCCAGTCCAGTTAGATGACTCAAAATCAATCATTATGTGCTGCAGGATTCACCCCCATATGTAACTGTTGCAATATGTAGAGTATAGAGACACTAACAGGTTAATACACAACCTGGAAAGGACCTGTTTTTCTGGTGAACTGCATTCATGCGTCTCGTGTTTGATGAAGTCTTCACTTTTTTTCACAGATTCCACCTCCCAAGAAGGTTCGTGTGTGCTGACCCTTCAAGCATCGATACTCAGAGAGAGATGAAATGTGTGGAGTGAGTATACTCATTTGTCTCTAACTTCAATAAGTTCTCTTACCGAATATTGAACTAAAATAATATTGTGTTTTCATTCTTCTCTGCAGTGAAAGGAGGAAGACGAACCGTAAGATCATAGCAAACCGAACCTGAGGCCACGACACATGAGCTGTATACGGAAGTTACTGTATGAAGGATATAACTAATATTTAAAAGCCTTCGTACACCGAAGTAAATTATCATGTCATTTTGTTAAATTATTATATAACATCTTATTATATAAGATTGTGTGTTTTATAAACAGGTAGTAAATTGTACACTGAAGGTGCAGAGCATCATTGGAGAAGTATATTTTTGTAAAGACATTTTAGTAAAGAGGAATGGAGAGTAAAAGTTTGAATTGTAATTTATATTGTCAAAGGATTAATAAAAACAGAGATGTTTAATAATGCATTTGTCTGAGTTTCATAACATTCAGCATATCCACATGTTACATATATCTGCTGCACATTCTAAATGTTATCCAAGTTTACAGTGTTACATGAATAAACCAAAGGTCAGAATTTCAAATAGGGTGCAAAGAATCAAGATGAGCACAATACAGTAGACATACTGTAATATAACAGTAGATAAATCACAACGACAAGAGAATAGAGTTGAAAATCAGTTTTCTGATAATTAATAAAGTAAATAGGCATAAACGATAAAAACCCTTTTGAAATATAAGATTTTTTTTTTTTTTTAATAGAATAGCTTTAAAATCATCTTATTCCACACTGTTTGATTGTATCATATTTGTTCTACACATTGTTCTAGCTTTTCATTGATATTTAATTCAACAATATCTTAGTGTTTTGCACCATTAAAGGTAACTTATTATGCAAAATCCACTTTTTCATGTCTTTTATACACAAACATGTGTCCCCTCTGTGTAAAGAGATTCTGAAAGATTCTGTCTGAAAATGAGTAGATCAGTTTTTGGCCACTTTATGATGTCATGATTTTTTGGCTTGTGTAAAAATTAGCCAATAACCAACCAAGGTAACACCCTAATCTAATCTTAACTTCATCTAAAGTAAAAGACAGAGAATCAGCACTTTTTAAACAGGGCTGAAACAGAGGGGTTTATGGGATGCTGTTTGGTATTTCGAGCAAAACACTTCAGAGACATGTTTTGAATATATCTGAGACATATAATATATTGATGAAAAACAGTATATTAGGGGACCTTTAACATTTCCCAGAATTTGAAGTCTACAGTTTTTGTATCTCTTGAAACTTTGGGAGGAGTAAAGTCCTGCAGGTTTGAATAAAGCTTGACTGTAAAACATGCATTTTTAAGCGTTATGGGATGAACAAAAACGTAGAAAAGTAGAGAGCTCATTTCGTGCTAAATGCTTTTAAGATAAAATCAAAGAAGTTAAAATAAAGGTTTAAATTCAATATATACATTTTTACAAGAGACAGTTTTCCAAGTGTTGCGGAAAACTGTCAAAGAGTGAAATCAAACTGTGGCATCCTAAAAGATGATCATAATCATGACTATCTGTTCACTGCCCCATTCTAAAGTGAAAGGTAGGGCTCACCTGCTTATGGAAAAAACTAATTTCACTCATACCTAGTCATAACTCGGTCTTCCAGTTTGTGTGTATGGAAACTATTGAAATGAATTTCCATTTCAGTTAAACCTGTAAGAGCAGCTGATCTACAGTAGTTGGTAGGTAATGTAATCCCAGAAACCTCCTTCAGGAATACTTTGTTACATTTTTTAACAAACCAACAAATTCCAATACGACTCCAAATCTCACATAAAGAGGATTGTATTTCCTTTCCATCATGGTCTGTCCCCCACAGTGAGGAGTAATCTGTCCTCGTTGATATCTTCTCTGTTCTTCAGAGCCTTGCAGAGCTTAACCCAGAACAGCTCGGGATGCTCCTCAGCTTGAGGCCAGCTCAAGTAGGTCTGCCTCTTCAGCAGCTTCCTTATGCGGTGGTAAGCAGAAAGCTGAGAGGTGGGAATATCCTCCAGAAACACCAGAACCAGCACGTCCTTCTGCTCATCAAACAGGCGGAAACTACACAGAGGAAACAGACGGATGGATTTTTTCATTACTAATTTATTGTAATAATCTTTTAATAAAAATGTTATGTCAGTAACATATCAGACATTACTACAATTTCATTTCAGAAAAAGATGAATCAAAAGCAATTATCTTTGATTCTTTCAAAGTTTCAGACTTGGTTTAGGTTTAAGATTATGACATTGTTCATGGAAAACATGGTGTTTGACATTTTTAAAAAGCAGAACAAAAGACTCTCACACACTTCATAACTTGCAGTCAGAGATTATTATCAATGTTCCGGTACACAAACCTTGATTGGGTTATTTGGTTAACGTTTCAAATTATATTTTATTACAAATGATGAAGTAAGTTTGAGGGAGTATTTAGCTCTGCATTATTGACCAATATTATTCTCTTAGACAGCTGTCAAACAAATAGAAAAGGTGCTATTTAATAAAACTATATGAGCTTTTTTCTTGTGTTAATTTCTCAATTAAGCTCATTATTTAGTATAACTCAGTATAACTTTTTTTTCTTTTATTAATGTATAATAGTTTCAACAGTTTTTATTATATCTTTTTTAACTGTGTTTATGTATGCACCATGTACACCAAGACAAATTCCTCGTATGTGTTAACCTACAATAAAACTGTTTCTGATTCTGATTAAAGTTTGACAAGGCAGTGTAAAGCAGCATAAAAACACAACTTCAAACAGTAATCCTGAAAAGGTGTAAACCGATTAAGTTGCAACAATCTGACCCATACACACTAAAAGACTTGTATTTTTCTGTGTTAATAAGTGTGTCATGTGTATGTATTTACATATTTTTGTAGGGCAGCGAGGAGCTCCAACTGTCCATGGAACACATAAAGTGGATCATATGCATCCTTCGAGACTTCATCCATTCCCCAGAGAGGCGTATCATGGCGGCCACCATCTCCAAGCTCAAGCTGGACCTGGACTTCGACTCCACCACCATCAACCAGATCCAACTGGTGCTCTTTGGCTTCCAGGACTCGGTACGCAGCACACACATTCACATCTGAAATACAAGCTCATACAGTTATCACTGATATAGTATGATTAAATGAATTATCTCAGATATATTTTATATTCAGGAAAAATAAGCCCATCAACTTCATTTTGGAAGATACCATTATTAAACTAAAACATAAGATCACTTTTAACAACATCTTTTATTTGACCACATGAAAAAAATAAAATATTGTATTTTTTTGCAAATAATTTAACCAGTTAAGCCCCGAGCCTGTTTTTCAGGTCTCAGGCTCGAAAATGACATTCCCAAAACAAACGACTATATCTTCACTTAGAGGGGTAAATTAATAATCTTTTTTCTCAAAGCAATGATAAACCTGTGAGTTGGATGTAGAAAAGTCAGAATCAATATAGATTTTTTTTATTTTAAAGTAAATTCAGATTGAACATAGTAAAAAAATGTAAATTATAGTGTCCGTCCAAACTAAAAACATTACTTATAGTAAAAACCACCCTTGAATGATGGGATCGGAGACTAAAAGCTTTATGAATCCAAACTATAACATATAATAAGTACCCTGTATCAAGATTGATGCAAAACAAGTGACATTTGACCTTTTTAGAGAGATTTTGAAAAAAATAACCACTTCCGGGGTCATTTGGGTGCATTTTCCATATCTCTGGCCCCCCTCGGTTGATTTTGATGATTGACACCTCTTTTTAACCGTTAGAGCCAATAGAATCGAGGGGAAGTTCCTAAAATCCATCTTAACATTACCTATTGGTGAATGAGTGATGCTTAGCCAGAATGCCCAAAACCGGAAGCTGTCATACACTCTTGTAGCAGCTAATATGAAATCTCCGTTATTGACATAAATATGAAGATGGATTATCAGTAATCATTTCAAAGTGACACAGACACATTGGATTAAGCTTCAGCAGCGTTGTATTTGTTTTAATGCCATTGAACACAACTTTTGATCAGAAAACAGCAACGGAAAGACTTATTTTCCGTTTTGGTCCCATAAAGCTATGTTGTGTGTCTGGGTTTGCTTCCCCTGCCGCGAGTTTTGGTCGCTCAGTGATGATACTTAGGCCCCTTGAATCTGTGGAATCTCAGCACTCTAGCTGATATCTTATTTGTCCAGATCCGATAAGTAATAAGGTATCTCTACCGTGAGTTCTGTGCTAAGTGCGTTAGCATTTTTTCGCTCAGGGCTTCAGAGGCTTGGTATGACCCTTGTGTTGCGTTTAACTAAAAATGGTTAATATTGTCTGATAGCTGAGTTTCTTCCCATTAAGTGGGTATGACACATTCATAGTTTGTTAAATTAACCAAAGAAGCCCTCAGACGCTGTTTGTTGCATTTTGCCCCCGGTACCGGGGGCATGGGGCTTAAATGGTTTAAACACTGTTATAAATGTTGTTTATCAAATGCAGAAAACTAATCTAACATTTTCTTTTTTTCAATGTAATAATATGAAACCAGCACTTCCTTCCACTTATACATGGGATGACACTTACACATATTCATGTACATGTAAATAAAGGCTGGAGTGATGATGACACAGCAGGAACGTGTCAGTAGAAGTTCAAACAAAAGAAAACCTGACCTTTACCCTATTTAACCATTTATAAAGTATACATTTTACCATTAATGAGGAAAAATTAATTCCATTTTTTAATTTTATGGTATAATATGACATCTTGATTGTTTAAGCCTGACTGTAATTCCATTTTATTTTTTATGACAAAATTGGCAAAGAGTGCTGGATAAAAGTAGAGATTGTTTAACATTAAGAAATTATGATGTTGTCTTTGCAAAAAGTAACACTGAAAAAGGATATTTTTTCATTTGAAATACATGATGTTATCAGCAATGCATTACTTAAGATTCCCATTCATGTTCGAGACTGTTTAATGTTTCTTTGTTTTAACATACCTACCTGGTTTTTCTAGCCCAGTGGTTCTTAGTGGGAATACCGGGAGGTTTTGGGCCGGTACCGAAGCGGGCCGTTCGGACAATTCACTAACACCCCCCAACCCCCACCACCCCCACACATTTCATTATGTGTTCAATTGTATCTGATGTTGTACCCATGGATGTATAAAGAATAGTTCTACCGCAAAGTTATTCTCCGTGGGGACTTAGGAAAGATGTTTTATTGAGTAGATGATCACTACGTGACAGAAGTTTTCAAAACCGTTTATGGTCTCCAGCAGGGGCGGACTGGTCATCGGGACGTTCGGGACGAATCCCGATGGGCCGGTACTGAAGTGGGCGGGTCGGACGATGTGGGCCGCTCGGATAAGTCACTAGCACCCCCCCCCCCCCCCCATTGATAATTTACCGAGGTGGGCCAGCGGTACCGAAGTGGGCCGGTCGATG